TTTTATATTTCATTGGAGCGTACGATTGATAATTCAGGTACCTACCAGACCATACCTCCTTTGTGTACCAATTTGTTTTGATTTCCCCGTTGTTATCATAATTAATTGTTAGGTCTAGAAAGTTTATAGAATTGCCTTTATCTTCTTCGAGAGTAAACTTTAGGGTGTCATGAAAGGCATTAAACTTATCTAGTGTATATTGAATTTTGTCTTTTGGGAGGCACATTATGCAGTCATCCACATATCGTTTAAAAAATTCACACTTATAGTTTAATTTAGATATTATTTGTTTTCCAAATTCTCCATTACCAAATTTGCAATTGTTATTTTAGAGAAACTGATGATGGTGGAAAACACCGAAACGCATTTTAATTGATAAATAGACAATAAATGACTGAAGCCCAGGAATTGATTTTGATTTGGAATTGAAACACAGTCAGGAAAGTATGTACAATTAACAACATAATAAAGATTTCGTTAATGAGCGTTAACAAACACTGAAGACTGGATTACGAGATAAAAACTCTTTGCTAATTTTTATATAGCAATCACAGTTAGTACACTTTCAATGTAGGTGTAGTAGATATCGTTGATTTCCAAAATAATACTCTTTTCGTCTCATGACTTTTACCATATTTATCATAGTGTTATAAAGTCGAGGTTTTACCATTGGGATTTCGTAAACCGCAAGAAATGAAAAGTCGGTTAAATTAAGGCAAATTTACGCATTTTGATGCTGAATTTGGTGTTTTATAAGAAAAATATAAAATAATACATTGTCTAATGTAAGTTTGAAAATTAATAGTAAAGTAAAATGTTATGGTCACTTATGCCGACTATTCTTATAAAATAAGACGTAGTATCGTTTCTGCTGGTGCCAGCATAATTTAACTATAAAAGAAGCCACAGCAGAAACGATAATTCAGTCTCAGAAAGTCTTCAGTCTATAGATATTCATTCTTAAGATTTACGGCCTACAAGTCGTAATTCATAGTTAAGGTTCGGTTACAACTAAAATATGAAATTAATTTGGAAATAAATTGTTTTTAAATAGCCTTTAACTTTCAAATTAATTAATAAAACTGTAAGTTATCTGGACATATCTACTTGAAAACGAATTCACTCAGATTAGTAAGATTGTTTCATTAATTGTTATTGTAGAAATTGTTAAAAGCAAATAATACGTACATGTGTGATACTACACAATAACCAATGGAATACTACAGACATTCGCATACCACAAAGATTATTAACTTAAATTACCTGAAATAATCTGGCTTTAGAATGTGATCAGTTCGAAAGGTTTCGGTAACATACTTGTGCACATAGGTTGGAAAAGGCAATTCCGAATCCAAGTCGTAGACTAAGCACTTGTCTGGTTCTGGATGATACAGAAAAATTACGTGGTAGTCCTATTAAAAAATTCAGCCGTTTTTTCAATAAGTAGAGATGAGTTACCTATTTAATATTAAAATTACTACGCAAAACAATTACGTTAAAAATATTTTCTAAAATTGCAGATGCTTTGCATGGCATACCCAAATTATCAGGCGGTCTTCATTCTTTCCAGCTCGTTGTCTCCACAGTGGCACAGTTCTACTCTGGTTCGAAATGAAAACAGCGTAGCATTTATTAAGCTCATTGGGGTGTGCCTTAGTCACTTCTTCTCCAAGTTTATACACATTTTCTTCGCTAAAAGTCAAGAAAAGGGGAGTCGAATTTCTATCCAATACCATTACACCATTACAAACATGATTTTCACGATAATAACATAAAAGCAAAGTAATAATAATATAATTTAATATCACAGTTAAAATGGTACATAAAGCTTCCAGCACGGAATGAGTACCCAATTCCTAGAACTATAACATTTTATCAGCATTAACCGCAGCTAAGTGCTCAAAGGCGTCCTGAATTATACGTTGTCTATTGTAACAGTAGATAGGTAACTCAACTTCTAATGCTAAGCTTGTATATTTTATCTAGAAACACATCATTACTTCAAGATATGATGCAAATGCAATTATAATTAACTGTCTCCAAACGGTTTGTTGCTTGTGCACCAGTGAAACTTAGCCATAGTGTGTAGCCCCCTTTGTAAGGAAAACATAAAAAAATGTGAACAAATCGTTCGAAAAATATAAAAATGTATGTAAACAAAACATTCTTAAAATAAACGCAAGGTACTTATATGTACGAAACATTGTACTTCCAAGCAATATTTACGGCGAAGATATTTAAAATATGTTGATCACCATTACATAAAATTCGACAGTCTATTTTTAAGTGTTTTCTATTTTTGAAGTCCAGTTAGATGATGAAGACAACAATAAAACATAGTTAATGTACGAATTAGTCAGCTCTTTAAAAGCGCTTCAATACTTTTTCACAGTTGCTTTCAAATAGGTTTTGATAATAAATAAATTTTCATAAGAACAAAATAACTGCAAAAATCAGAACATTTCACACACAAAATATCAATAAAATTAAATCTTAAAAAACTCTTATACATTATTTTTAGTCATAATACGTGCTGAAAGCGCTTTTCGATAATTATCTACTAGATATGTATTACACCAAAAACGGTTTTGCTCGTCTCATTTTCAACTACCCATGTGGATAATTAATAAAACTAGAGACACAGGTCCAAAAAAATGCAATAAAAACACCAACATTAAAGTTAACATTTTCAGTTATTCGGTATTTCAGTTTCTCAGTTATTCGGCAAAATGTTGGAAAACGTTATTTAATAACAGGCCCATAGTAGAACAAAAAATCACGTCCTATTGACGCCTCTTACTGACGAAAATGTCACATATTCGAATTTCAGAATAACGTGCGTTCTAATCCCTATAGCATGTTCGCTATAACTTTGGTCGCACGTCATCAGTGAAGAAATTTTACTACCAACATAAAAACAATTATGCATGAAATTTGTGTAATAAGTCGACTAAGTTCTTTGTTGTGTTTTGTGCATTGGAGAACCTCAAGCAATCATAAAATGCGAACAAACTTTAGAATACTATCTAATTGAAAGCGATGTTGACTATTTATGTTCATCTTTAAAATTATTAGGTTGGTGAAAATTACAATGCTGCAGAATCGATTGTAGATTTATTAGAAATTTTTTTATGTTACATGAAGTTTGCATGTTGCATTTGTCATGCACTTTATTTAAATTATACTGCTTCGAGTATTTATGTTTGTATATACAGGATGGCCATTTTCTGAATCTTTGTATGGGCAACTTCTACATTTTTAAAGATAGAGAATCCGTTAAATGGGCAAAATTGGGCAGAATTCGATTGCCTATTCATTATCGTTTTCAAAATTTAGGTAACCGACTTGGTTCCTGAAACGGCAAGAAATCAACACTTTTCTAATTATCATATAATTCGTAAACTGATTAAACTCGAAAAAAAGTTAAAATTGTCTTTGGTAGAACTTTTTGAGTTGAATTCAATAAACTAGCACTCGTTGTCATAGTCAACTTGATTTACGAGATAAAAAATAAACTTGTGTCTTTGTGTTAAACTTTGTGGGCCTTTTAAAATCCTTAATTTTTTCTGAATTTAACAATATAACTGTTTGTATGTTTTTCTCCTTCTGTTGCCGTAAAACTTCAAAAGAAGATAAAAAAATGTGTAGAACAAGAACAACTATATTATTAACTATGGAAACAAGAACTATATTATCACACAAAACACAAAACGATAATGAAATAATTAAGACACAATCATGTTTACTGAGCTAATAAAAATCATGATCTAATTGGAAATAGGCGAGATCAACATTTTTTGTGAATGTCTGGTGAGGCATTTTTAGTGATAAAATTATTGGCTCATTCTTTTATAATCACAATTCAATTATGGAAAGATATTTACACTTTTTACCAAATGAACTTGAAGACATGTTGAATAGTTTTCCGTTTGCGTCGTATCGAAAATTGGCATATTTTCAACATGATAGTGCACCTTCACACAACTCACGAACTGAATGTGAAAATGCCAAAAAATGCCTAGACGTAAACGGAAGTCAGTTTGAACATTTAATTTAAACGATATACATACAAACAATTATATCGTTAAATTCAGAAAAAAATAGGGATTTTAAAAGGCCCACAGCCAACTATGGTTACCATTTAAAAAAACATACGTTAATTTTTTATCTCGTAAATCAAATTGACTATGACAACGCGTGCTAGTTCATTGGATTCAACGCAAAAAGTTGTACTGAAGGCAGTTTTAACTTTTTTTCTAAGTTAAGCAGTTTACGTAATATGTGATAATTAAAAAACTGTTGATTTCTTGTCCTTTCATGAACCAAGTGTTCATTTCAGGAACCAAGTCGGGTACCTAAATTTTGAAAACGGTAATGAATAGGCAATCGAATTCAGCCCAATTTTGCCCATTTAACGGATTCTCTATCTTTAAAAATGTAGAAGTTACCCATACAAAGATTCAGAAAATGGCCACCCTGTATGATAGTACAGTAGATAATTTACGGCGAGTGCGGCAACAACGCTCGACAGACGATTGATGACGTGCGACCATTCGCGAGTTTATCTACCGATGGTGGGGCTGCGAAACGTCAAATTACTTGTTGTCGAGTGGCAGTGGATTTTTTTTTATTATATTTATTGGAGTTGATGACATATATAACACCAAACAATACTTGCACACTTCTCGATCTGTTTCTATTTCTTTAAAATCTTGCAAACGTTGATCAGAACGAAACAAATCACAAACACCAATGTGACATTAATGGCAACAAAACAAGTGTAAAATTACGAATAAACGTGTAGTTATAATTTTATCCACCAGAGGGCGTTTGGACTTTTGAACTCGCGAGTTCAACTACCGATGTTGGCGCTGCAAAACGTCAAATTATTCGTTGTCGAGTGACAGTTGATACTTGTTTATTTATTGGAGTTGGTGACATTTATCATCATTCAACCAACATCATGACATCATTAAAACAATACTTATACACTTTTCGATCTGTTCCTATTTCTTTAAAAGCTTGCAAACTTTGATTAGAACAAAACCATTCACAATCAGATGTAAATACCAATGTCAACAAAAGCAAGTGTCAAATTACTACTTAACTTGTAGTTATAATTTTAGCCATCAGGGAGCGTTGGACTTTTGAACTCGCGAGTAGATCTGACGTGTCTATTGTTTGGGTTCTTCATAAATATTACGGGTAAATAAGAAAACATGTGTTTTTCAATGTTATGAAATTTGAGCCTTGTGTAGGTATAGGTTAGTTTTTACTGCAAAACCAAATACAACGGCGTTGAACTATGCGTATGCTCGCCTGGTGTATTCATGCAAACACTGGGGACATGCTTTGAGCATGCTGCAGCTGATTATTTTACTCACCAATAGCAAGACACATAAGAGCAGTCCCCTTGTTTGGGAAACAAATTTACAACAGACTTCTTCAGGATTCCTTGATTTTCTTGTAAAATTCGTACATTTGATTCAGTTGCCATTTCTGCGAAATACTGTCCACTGACACATCAACAAGTTATTTCAGTTGGTCTATGATGGTACGCATACGTAAACAAAGAGCAACAGAAGTTCCAATTAGCAGAACTGGCAGAAAATCCTCCTCAATATTGACCATAGACTAGACGAGTTGACAGATGTTGACTGTCTAGGATCATCAAATTGGTGCAATTCCCCGTTCGATAATACCAGGAATCCTAGCAGAAATGACCTGAGCCTTGTATCTCACTTTATTTCCCAGAAATAATAAAGGATCATCCCAGACGATTGTTCTTTGACAACGAAACGTTAACCTCACTCCGTGCCCAAGCTCAGCATTGTTGTCACGTTCACTTTAATTTAGTTAGTAGCGACTGGTAGCAAGAACAACTGTTACACAAGCGTCTAGGATACGGCACTTCTTGTCAATTCTATCGATTGCGTCGATTCGAACCTAGCGGTTTGTTATGATTTAAGACGATTTAAGGTTAGGTGATTTTTTCCCGGTATTTTGTTGTAACCGTAAACTCTTTGGATTT